CAGGCCGCCTAAAAGGGGTTTAACATGGGAGCACCTAGGTGCCCCCATGATAACCTGCGCAACTGCATTCTGGACCAGTTGAAGTCTCCGGGTGCTCTTCAAGGGCAGCCCCATGTAGAGAGTGTTACAGTAGCCCAGGCGAGAAAGGACAAGGTGGTTTGGAATAGTTAGCAGCAAAAGAAAACCAGGCTGTCAAAGAACAAGTGGCTGGACACCATCAAAGCTGACACCAGCCAAAGCATAGAAAAATTCAAAGAAGTAGTGCAAGATTGGAAGATGTGGAGATACCTAGAATCACCAAGAGTGATTCTATGACTGAATGGATAACATCATCTTCATGTCAAACCAAAAGAGAGGAGGACACATTCTTTATCATTCCAGGATGCAAGAATAATGGCTTAAATTATAGGAAGGCAGATTCTAAGTTAGAAAAACAAATCTTCCTAATAGTAATAGTAGTTTGGCAGCCAGAGTAGATCCCCTATCCAAATGGAGATGGTCAAGTGGAGGCTAGATACCAGGCAACCATCTGTTTGGGATGCATAATTTGGATTTCTGCATTGACCAGAGGTTGGGCATAATGGCTTAATGGTACCTTCCAGTTCTGCTATTCTATCTGTCTCGTAGCTAGTGATACCTATTTTGTCGCTACACAAACTAGAAATGGAAATTTAATTTCCAAGATCATTAAACTCTAGGGATATTAAACATAGACAAAATTAAGTGATGAATAATTTAGATTACGAATCTCCTGGCTTAATCATAAGGTTCATTTCTAGAAATATTCATGAGGAAGAGAGAAATCTGTATCTGGTTAAGTTTCAGACCTGATAATTTATTTTTCTCTTTACTTAATTTTTAAAGATTTTCTTAAGCAAAAAGTCACCTACTGTGAAGCTGATAGGCTGCAAAGAATGGCTGTAAGCTAGATTTTATGGCTGTTTTCATAATTATTTTTAATTGTGAACATCTTCAAGTAAAATCTGTGCTATTTCCTTGTTTCATCCAGAAGTTAATACCTGTCTTTCTCAATAACATTATCAAAGACAAAACATATGATCCAATTTCACTGAAGAAGCAGTGTAGCATTTCATGCCTCTGAATGGAATATTATACAACTCTCATTTCTCTCTATTCACTTACTTCTGATATTTATTTCATGTGCTATCCCTGAATGCCACTTTTCTTTATCATTACAGATGTTGGCTTCGACTTGACACCTATTTCATTTGGAGTTTTATAGGACCTGCAACGTTGATCATTATGGTAAGAATTAGCTATGCTGTTTTCTGGAAATGTATCTTTAGGATCTTACATGCCTTGCATCAAATATAACTTAATTGGCAAAGGATGATGTCAGAAACCTGTCAGTGGTATTTTCCACCATAGATGAACATTATAAAAATGCTTTGCTTTAAATGCCTGAAGATATTGTCACTGAATAAGCAGACTTGGCCATATAACCATAGCTCAAAGAGAGCAGAGGAGTGAGCCTTTTCAGGAGTACATCTAGTGTACCAGTTAGGCCCTTTGCTGGATCGGGAGGTCCTTCAGATAGTCATTCCTGGTCACTTCACAATTGGATTAGTATAAGCATGGGGTTACCTTGGAGGCCGCTCAAAGCTACAGTGGTACAGATTGTGGAGTTACAGACAGAGAGTGATAGTGATACTGTACTATAGTCACATGGTCTCACTGCTTTGGGAGCTATACTGGTTACCAGTTGGCTTCTGGGTGCAATACAAGATGCTGATTATGACTTTTAAAGCTCTTCAGGGCTTTGGACCTATGTCTCTGAGGGACCACTTATCTCCAATTGTGACCTTCTGTTCCATCTGATACAATCAAGGAGGATGAATATGCTTAGACCTAATTGATTAAGCAATTTCACCTTATGAGATCCAGGATGTCTCTTCTCAGTTGCACCATATGCCCACTATATCAACAACAAAAACACCCCCAGAGGTTCATATTGCTCCTACCTTTAGGAGCTCAAAATCTAATTGTCTTTCCAGGCCTTCACTCAAATTGCCCCTTTAGTTAAGCTTGGTTTTTATAGCTGGTTGTATTTTTCTTCCAGTCAGCTGCAAGTTCTTGTTATACATATTGTTTTTCTTTTTTCTTTGTAAGATTTAAGGAATTGCATAATGAATGAGTAAATATACATATTTCCTTAAAAGACCATTTTCCTGTAAAACTTTTCAGGAATATTCATTCTTATATTTTTCAATTAAAATTAAAATGAGAGGGAACTTTTTGAGAGCTCACACTAATTTGTGTGAAAATAAATCTCTGGTAGGTTTCTTCAGGATTAATTGCTGAACCTGTATTCTTTTACAGGTGTTTTCCTTGTAAGAAGTTGATTCAGTGCAAATCTATCAACATTTTTCCACAAATGTTTTTGTACCCCATGCCATTCACTTTTTTCTGTTTCCTAGACAAGATAATGCAAAGACAGATAAATTGACTGATTGGCTTTTTGGGCTAGTTTATTTACTATGTGTTATTTGAGAACAATCAAATTCTACAATGCATCATTCCAGCCAGCATGCCATAATATTTGTGAGTTTTGAAGGTAGAACAAAAATCTGAAACAGAAGATAATTTAAGATTTTAAATGGCAAGTCACAATCCAGATATAATTTATATAGCCATATAGAGGGAAATCAGCAAGATCTATATTTTTACAGCTTTAACTTTTTCACTAGTTATTTGTGGAGTTTTTTAGTAATTTAGAAAACCAAGAAGCTCAACAGTGTATTGTCCCATAAAGACTCATATCTCATGAATGTCTTTCTTTTTAAGTGAAGGAAGACATTGAGAAAATTCATTCAGTTGCCTCCTCCAATTCACTAGGGTTCTTGGTGTCTGTTGGAACCATTATCCTTCAGAGAAGATTTTCAGCTCACAAAATCACTGCAGTGAACTTTGAAAAAATATAGAAAGTCCCTCTGAGTGCAATCACATTGAAATCATTTTTACATAATTCAGTGTAATATTATGATATAATAATGGTGCCCTCAAAATTGGAAATGATATAAGAATTAATGCTTCCCTTTAAAAGGATCAAAGTATTTTGGGGAATTTCTGTTTCGTAAAAACTCTTTTTTTAAAAAAAAAAAGTTATTTTGAAAAATTCTACTGAACAGAAATGCTAAATCTGATTTGTTCTGAGTTAAAGATGACATTTTTAAATCCAGGATCTTAATGATGTACGGCAAACCAGTGGTTGAATATGCTGAAATTTCATAATGTTTCAGGATATATACGTATAGAAACAAAGCTCTTGTAATGTAAGGAGGATATCTCTATCTTGTCTATTGAAATCTACTTTGTCTATTTTTATGGTACTACTTTTTATTTGCAGTGTCCTACATACAGAATTACTTCATTCTGTTTTTGTTCAATCTTACAGAGTCTTTTATATCAATCCTAGTAATGCTTGAAGAATAAGGATAAACACCCGATGTATCATGTTTCTCTTTTACTATTAGAAAAACCATTAAAACAAGTTTATTGTGGTTGGCATAGTTTTGTGAGTTTTATTTACTGCTTTTCTATGAAAAGCTTTCTGTTGTCCATGCAAACTAAAGTCCAGTTGACTTTATCAGCTGTGGATAATGCAAAGCCATAGTCAAGTCTATTTCTTATTGAGTACATATCAGCTTATTCCTCTTCAGACTTGGAGGAGGAAGGTCACAGGACAAGAATTCATCCATATAAAATGAATAATTATTTAAATGTACTGCCAGAAAAATGTTCTTAATCTTCAGGGGGGGCATATACTCTTTAGAACAGGGGTTCCCAAACTTGGAAACTTTAAGATTTGTGGAGTTCAACTCCCAGAATTCTGGGAACTGAAGTCCACAAGTCTTAAAGTTGCCAAGTTTGAAGACCTGTGCTTTAGAACATAGATTCACTTTACGGTGTGGTATGGACAAGTAATTCAGTCTTGAGCATTTCTCTCTGCTTTTGGAACTATTATAGTCCATAAATGGTTGTACCATATCAAAGAAAACTAGATTCATCCTTTTTCTTCTTCTTATAACTTGCCATTTTATTTTATTTATTTTATTTTATTTCAGCTTAATGTAATCTTCCTTGGAATTGCCCTTTATAAAATGTTTCATCATACTGCCATTCTGAAACCTGAATCAGGGTGTCTCGACAATATCAAGTAAGTAAATCCTTCCCCCTTTCTTTATTGTTTCCAGCTGAACTTCACAATGGAGTACCAAACTAAGACACTTGTGTCCTCACACTGTACTTATGTCCTGAGTGAAATTAAGGGTGTCAGGGAGAACTAAATGCAGAGACAACTAAATAACTAAACTAACTGCAGCCAATTTACTGTGGATTTAAACGATCCCATTAGTGTCCATATTTTATATTCAGTTTTTCACAGTAATGTCTTGCTTTGGGATGAAGGGCAGGTAAGTGATATTCAGGCATAGCAAGCATATTGGATTTTCTTTTTCATGAAGCCATGGTGAGGGTTACAGTAATCTTTCCAAATGATGGACATAGGTGTCAAAATAATAATAAGAAAAAATAGCAAACATATAACAAACCTTAGGAGTTTGCTCACATTTTAGCAATGTCTTTCTCAACATTTTGTGTAAGAATTCAGAAACCTTGCGAGACTTTGGTCATGTAATTATATATAGTTTGGCAGTTATATGGCTGCCATTTAAGGTAAAGGTATAATTTGTATTGAATGTTGAAGCAATGAGTGCAGAAGCAGGAAATAATTTTATGTTGCTGATTTCATATTGCTTGCAATATTTTGAATGCACGGGTGGATTTTTTTCCCTTGATTCAGTGTTAGCAAGACTAATGTCTGGCCCACTTTTCTATGGTGTAATATATTGAATGTCTGTTTCTGCTTCTCTGTTGGACTGATTATATGGCCCTTGGATGTTTATGTTTAAATAAACCAAAATAGAAACAAATCATGAGCAGAGTTTAGAAAAATGAATACTTTGAATAACAGCCTCTTGGATAAAACAAAATTGGCAGATTTTTTTTTAATATTAGAGGAAAGTCCAGCCTGTTATTTAAAAATATTATTAAAACCAGTATTTAGAAAGACATTACACAAACTGTGTCAGAAAGATTATCAGAGATTATTGCCCCTCCCCCCCCAAAAAAACCTGCTTGCCTTTAATGCGGGAATTTACCAACTTTGCAGCATCTTTCCTCTGACACTTACAAATATTTTCCAAAATTACATTTAGAAGAAAAAGCAAGGAACGGGTATTTCAGACCTTTAGCTACTCTTATAAAGTAAATCCTGTAAAGTGGTCCTTCCTTCTCCTCATGTAGATCACTATCTTATTGTCAAATACTCTTGCAGATTAATTGTTGTGCATGTGTGGGCACGCGGGCACATACACACAAATACACGAATACATGCCTCTGTATATGTATAAAGATCTGATGACTTCTTTCAGCAGCACAACAGATACTACTTCTATTCCCCCCTTACAGTGATTATTTGGACACATAAATGTCAAGTGATTACTGTTGAAAGAAAGAAAATGGAAAACTGTTGAAAGTACATACTGAAGCTGTTTTTGAAAAAAAATGTTTTAAATGGTGAAATAGATTGAAAAGGCAATTGATGGTCTGTATTTGCTATTTGAAGAGAAATTGCTCAGCCTATGGAAGGATTTCTCTTTTAAAAGAAAAAGAAAAAGAATCAATCCATCATTCTTGTCAGTGAGCATACACAAACCTCTGTCCTGTGTCTTCATTTTGTGTATATGTGTGTGTGTGTGTGTGTGTGTGTGTGTGTGGTTTGGGGAAAGATGAAGAGAAATGTTTGAAGAGAACTTCAAGAGGACAGCTGATCTGTGATACCCTTCAAGCCCTCGATGAGCCTGTGGCCCATAAGTTGGGATCTATTGTCTTAAAGCTTCATTGAGTTGGATAATAATCTCTTAGCTTGATTTTTTTTTGTGCTGCCTTCTTTGATACCCATCTGGGGGAACTTTTCTTAAATCTATTTCCCTTTCCAGCATTCCTAAGATTTCCAGAGTTAAAAAATAATGACAATGACAAGAATTTAATAAGAATAGTTTTCTAAGTAGATATGTAGGTACGTAGATGCATATGAACAAATCATAGACAATTTGATGCCTTATCCCTTTTTTACATACAATCACTGACAGAGATATCTTATAAGATTTGAGGAGCAAGGTGATGACCCTCTTCTGGAATGTGATCTGGTTTTTTATCTGCTGGGGAAGAAAGATAGAAATGGGAGCATGTCATGGCAGACTTCCCACCCTGGTTGTCCTGTCACCTTACTTGAAGGTCAAGAGGCATCCTCTTGGTATTGCTGCTGATCCATAATCATGGGTCATCATGGTTAATAATTACTGTAAACATCTTCCAATTTCTAGTGATTATAAAACAACACTGCTGCAATTAGAATACTCTGTTTGTAATCCCTTCCTGGAAAATCCTCAGTCTCATAATGATCACTACATATAAAAACCAATGTATAGATTAAAAGTACAACAAAATGTCAGCCTAATTATCAGAGGCAGAAAAATCTTTTTTCCAAATAGGGCTGTAAGTTTTGGTTAAAAAGATGAAAGGAAGAAGATAGATTTATAAAATTATGTTCAGTGTCAGATAAATTACATCCATTTCTGTCTGTTATCCAGTGAAGCTGATTTGTACCAAGAAAAATTCTCAGCATGATGCAATGCCTTGCAGCCAAAAGAATCAAAAGGAGCTTAAGAGCACACTGGTTGCAAATGTAGCAATTAGAACATAGAATAATAGAATTGGAAGAGACCTTGGACATCTTCTAATCTAATCCAATCCCCTGCTCAAGCAGGAAGCTCTATACCATTTCAGACAAACAGTTGTCTAGTGTCTTTTTAAAACCTCCATTGATGGAGCACCCACATCTTCTGAAGGGAAGCTATTCCATTGGTTGATTGCTCTAACCTTTAGGAATTTCTCCTTAATTCTAGGTTGCTTTTTTTCCTTGGTTAGTTTCCATCCATTGTTTCTTGTCTTGCCTTGTGTTGCCAACAATTGTCTGCAATTCATTAAAGCAGCTGTATCTTTTCCCAGTATCACATTACTGCCCTCCACAGCTGCTTTATGATCACGGGAAACAACTTATTTGGTTGAAGGAGTTGCAGAGAAGTGCTATACAGCCTTGCATAGTCCAAAATATCTTTTTGTCTTGAAATTCAAAGTACTACACAGCCACATAATTTACATAACTACTTTTCCCAGAAAGCATTACTAGATTAAGCCTGTAAAAATAATTGGTTTAAACTTGGAAAATAAGAATGCCAACCACCATCACTGTTGTTGTTATCTGTCACGTTATTATATGTTACATTCAGTATCTGAAGTAATTAGCTGAAAATTGTGAGAAGGCTGGATATTAGATCACATTGGTTAATCTAAAGCAAAGTTTTTCTTCCACATGCTCTGAATCTTAGTTTAGCTGACAAATGTTGACAGAACTGGTAGGTCTGTGTGATTAAAAAAAAAGAAATTGAATGCACATGTTTCTTCAGATTGCTCTTTATGGTAGATAGGGATACATATCTACTTAGAACATTAAATTTAGTTTGTTCTACAGAATAAAGTTTCTGCATTATTTTTTCTTCAGCTAGACTAATCAGGTAGAGAAGCTGTGTTATTCACAGATACATTTCCAGTGAAATATTCTTGAGAATCTGAGAATGACACAAAAAGAAATAAAGCTTTTTCTACAGATACTGTCTTAAGAAGTTAAGATAAGTACACACAACTCTGCAGTCAGAAAAAGAACTTGCTGTGTATTTGCAGCAAGTACAAAGTTATAGCTGTGCTTTGTGGAACAAGTAAAGAAAATGTGGAACAGTAAGTGGCCATATTTCAGCTCTTAAGAAAAAGATGATGTGATTATAGCAAATCAGTTCTGTGCAGTTGGAATTCAGACATAACTTTTAGATCCTCACAAAGAAAAAAAGCTCTGGTTCTCCAAACAAAGCATAGGAAACTATGCTGAACAGGCAGCTAAAAATGAACAGAGTGGATTCAACTGTACCTTCAAGAGGACGAAAAGAGTTGTAGGAGTTGGTGACTTGCTACAATGCGAAATAGAGACTAGAAATAATATATGCTGGCCAGATCTGCTGGCTTTGTCTGTATGCTGTTTCCCAGAAGGCATATCAAAAAGTAGGTGCCTAGATTCATCAAGTAGACCTTTCAAAGAGTCTATGGAGTTTCTCAGTCATCCAGGTCATGGTTGTCACAAAGGTGCTTTTTTTCAAAAAGCAATTGGATTTTTCTTTGGGTTTTTTTTTTCTTGAAGACATTTCATTACTCATCCAAGAAGCATCCTCAGTTCTGCCTGAATGCCGGGGAATGGAAACATATTTCTTGTAGTCATCTGGTTGTTAGGACTTTGAAGGTCGGTCATGGTAAAAGAGGCCATCTACGTTAAAATTCAACAGCCCTCTCTCAACAGACACTCACTACCTATCTCCTGTTTACGACACAGTCCTTTCAGCACTTCCAAAACGATTCCACACCCATTTCCACTCTGATTCAGGTGATTTTGAGGACATAGATAAACTCCCAGCATTCAGTCAGAACTGAAGATGTTTCTTGATTGAGAAGTGAAACATCTTCCAAAAAAACCCAAAGTCCAGTTATCTTTTGAAAAAAGCACCTTTGTGACAACCATGACTGGATGACTGAGAAACTCCACAGACTCTTTGAAAGGTCTACTTGATGA